AATGATCCCGTGGCAATGGGAATGATCCCGTGGCAATGGGAATGAACCCTTGGCTTTGGGAATGATTCTGTGGCATTGGGAGTGACTCCATGGAGTTGAGAATTACTCCACGGCATTGGGAATGATCCCATGGCAGTGGGAATGATCCCATGGCGCTGGGAATGACTCCATGTTGTTGGGAATGACCCCATGGTGTTGGGAATAACCCCAAGGCACTGGGAATGATCCCATGGAGCTGGGAATGCCTCCGTGGTTCTGGGTGCTGGTTTGCAGCTGGGGTCACTTGATCTCGAGGAGCTGAGTTGCTTTGAAAAACCCAACTCTGAAAAATTCAACTCCAAAAAATTCAGCTCCAGCTTGGTTGGGCTGGGTCCGTTTGGTTGTGAGGGGTGGGAAGGTGGAGTTGCTGTTCTCAAGCTTCTGGGAGTTTTTTGGGATGGATCCTGGAATGCTGAGGAAAGTCCTTCCTGTTGAGGGCTTTGAATCCCAGGATGGTTTGGGTTGGAAGGGACGTTAAAAATCATCCCATCCCACCCCTGCCTGAGCAGGGACACCTTCCACTATCCCAGGTTGCTCCAAGCCCTGTCCAGCCTGACCTTGGACACTTCCAGGGATGAGGAGTCCACACCTCTCTGGGAATTTTAGGGTTTGAAGAGAAACCCCCAAAGCTGCATCCTGCAGGATCAAGCCCTCAGTGAGGAGATGTGCAGGAGACAGGATTTACACCATCACATAATCCCAGGATGGTTTGGGTGGGAATGGACCTTAAATCCCATCCCATTCCACCCCCTGCCATGGGCAGGGACACCTCCTGCTGTCCCAGGTCCCCCTAAAAGTCTTCTGGACTGCCTGATGACAACCTCAGTGCACAAAGGTGGGCCACTGACCCGGGCCTGGCCCTGGAGGTGGAAAGGTGCCTCTGCTTGTCCTACCAACCATTCTGGAAATAGGATTGCCACCAGGAGCTGGGAATTGTGCCCTGATGGAGTGATGGGGGTGCTCCTGTCTCCAGGCTGCTGTGGATGAGGGAAGTGGCTGTGCTTGGAGGGAGCTTCACCTCCATGATCCCAACACTTTGTGTTTGATCCTAAAAGCAACATCAGCTGTGACCAGGCCTTGGCTCTCCTGCCTTTTTTAATGCTCCCATGGAGCAGAGTGAGCCAGGATTGATGGTCCTGCATAACAGAGGCAATCCCACAGGATAACCCCAAACTGGCCTCACTTTCCTGGAAACCACACCAAAAGGTGGGGGATTTTGGGTTGGATTTATCATCTCCTGAGGGCTTTGGGCCTCCCCCAGCCCCATTTCCATGGGTTTTCCGAGGGTATCCCAGGTGTCACCCGGCCTTTGATGTGGGGAACTCATCCCTTTGTGGGGAACAGATCCCCCAAACCCCCCAGTGCTCCTCTGCAGGCTGGGTTTGATCCTTCCTGTGCCCCAGCAAATCCATGGAAGGGTTGTTCTGCTGCACTCCAGCCTGGGGAGGTGCTGGGAATGAGCTGGGGAGTTCCTTTGGATAATCCTGAACTTCTCCAGAGCTGCTTCCTCTGGGCCTCCCCCCAGCCCTGCCTTTCCCTCACTGTGAAACCCAAACCCCGCTGACTTCACGGAGCTGAGGAAAATTTGATATTTCTCACTTCTAGGTCACCTCAGTCCAGATCGTTTCCTGCCGGGAGCGGGGGGCTGGGAATGCCCTGGTGGAGATGGAAATGGAAAAGCCATTCCCGTTCCTCCTGGGGTGTGCAGGGCCTGGCTCCAGGGTCACTCCTTCATCCTGGGCTCGGGGCATTCCTGTTCCTGCTGCAGTGGGAATGTGCCCATCACAGGTCAGGATTTGGCTCCTATGTTCCTAGAAAGGGAAGGGAACAAAGCTCCACTGAGTGATGTGAGGTCGTTCAGGCAGAAATCCCTGGAAAATCTCATCCAATTTAAAACTCCCCCCGCAAAAATCCTGAAAGGTGCAGATTCCTCAAGGTCCCAATTGCTCCTGGTGGGCTGGAAACCTTTTGTGCCTTTGGGAGCATCCTCTGGCTGGTTTTTAGGATATCTGGGAGTAGGGGCACAGAAATTTTTCCTTTTTTTTTATTCAGAGAGTGGGGAGGCCCTGGCACAGGGTGCCCAGATTTGCTGTGCTGCCCCTGGATCCCTGGAAGTGTCCAAGACCAGGTTGGACACTGGGGCTTGGAACACCCTGGGACAGTGGGAGGTGTCTCTGGGGGTGGAATGGGATTTATGGTCACTTCTAACCCAAACTGTTCCTGGATTCCGTGATTTCCCAGCTGGTGCTTGGACTTTATTCCAGATCAAAACTCTTCTCTTGATAACTCCGTTTATTTGCATTAAAAGTGCAAAATCAAAGCATGGAGGGTAAATTCCATGTGGGGCTTCTTGTTCTGGAGCGATGCCGGAGGGACAGATTTCCTTGATTACTAAATAACTGGAATTTATGAAATCTTATCAACATTTTGTTTGGATCTTATCAATATTGATACCTGGCCACATCCTGCTGTGCTCCCAACACAGGAAAGATGAATGCCTGTTGGAAAGCAGAGGTGGGACCAAGGTTGGTGATCCTCAGAGAGCTCTTCCATGGATCCTTGGTGACACCAACTCCATGTCCAGGCTGAAATCCCGTGTGTTTCACGCTGAGGGCTGGGGCAGGGGAGTTCAGGGCTGGCAGCAGCATCCTCCAGCTCGTTATCCCAGATTTCCCTCTCCCATGACCGCCTGTGCTCTCCAGGCCCACTCCACCCTGCTTAACGAGCCGTGTCCAGCTCAGGGCTCCGTCCAAAACTGCGCCTTTTCCCACTCTTTGATTCTCCCCTCTCCAGAAGGAGAAGGATTACATAAACTGGAGGGTTTAATGAGTGCACTGGGCTTGCTTTTGGGGGAATTTCCAGTAGATTCAGGGTTATAACTTCATTAGGCCTTGTTGAGAAACTCATGGCAGCGCTGGGCGGGCCCGACCCCGACCCTTTGTTGTGTTCTCTTCTGAAGGACCGAGCGCTCCCGCCCCTTTTTGAAGTCCTAATTCCCTTTATGGGATGTTGCAAGGCCTTTCTATAGAGTGCTGCCTCTGAAGTCCGAAAATCCCGGTGCCAAAAATGCCCCTTTCCCCATCGGCCTCGCGTCCTGACGTCGGGAGCAAAACTTTGTCCTGGGCAGTGTCCACCCAGACCTTTCCCTCTGGGGCTCTGTTGCAAAAATTCCCATTGTTGGGATTCGTCCCTGAAGAGATTTTTTTTTAAAGGGATGGGGTTGGGAGTCCCCTGGCTCAGCTGGGAGGAGCACTCGGAGTAAATAAGCACTCTAGGGCTACTCCTGCTTTCCAACCACTAGAGGTCAAGGTTGTGCTGTGGGATAACACATCCCACAAGGATTCACATCCCCATCCAAGGATTCACTCCTGTTTCCGCTGCAGCTGCCTCCAGGGGCAGCTTTGTACACGGAATTTTGTTAGGGATTGCCCAGCTGGTTAATTAATTCAGAGCTGATTGTGTGTGCTCGGGGTGGGGAGCACTTTGAGGTGGATTTTCCGAGGGATGGGATGTCCATGCCTGGATTTTCCAAGGAATGGGGTCTTCATGCCATGCTTGGATTCCTCAGATGTAGGAATTATCCAGTGCTCGGTCCCTGGTGGGGTTTTGCTTCCCAAGGGGAAATTCCAAAGGGATTTTGAAGCTGGCAAAAATCAAAGCTGCTCCTGAATAATTTTTGGTGGGATGTTAAAACTTCCAAATTTTGAAAAGGAAATAATCTGGGAGGTTTGCACACAGATTAAGCACACTTTGTGCTCTCTGCAGTTCAGGTAGCAAAAGTAATTAATAATTAGAGATTTTTAATAGTAATTAATAATGTTTTAATTCTCCCTTGGTGTCACTGACAGCTGGATCTCCAACAGGTTTAATGGTTTTCCTTCTAAATCCAGGCTGCCACATTCCCATAGGGAAGGGGATGAGCCCCTTTTGCCACCTCAGAGAATCCTGGAATTCCTGAATGTCCAGGAGCTACCTGGGCTTGTGGAAAGTGTCCTTGCCCATGGAATGAGAGGATCCTGAAGGTCCTGTCTGTGATTCCATGATTCCCACACACCTGTCTCCTGATACATAAAAAATCCACAGCATAATATGGGGAGGAATCCTCTAAATCTGTGTCTAAATCCATATAAATTCCAGGTTTTCCAAGTGTTTATTTTCCAGTTACACCAGCACACAAACCCACATGTCCAGCAGGGCCACATCCATGGGATTGGCCTTTTCCCCCTGGTTTTGGCTGGGATTTGGCCCTGGAGACCCCTTGTGTGTTCGTGCTGCTCCCATTCCTTGCCCTTGTGTTTGAACTTGATCAGCTCCTGAACAAGCGGGCCTGAACCACTTTTCCTGTCGATTATTGTGCTCCATATCAAAGGAAAAACAATGGAATTTTTGCAGGAGGGCACAGTGTGACCTCAGCTGCCAGACAACCCCAAAACCCCTGGAATAACTCTGCGTGTTCCCAGCCCTCCATCCCGCTGCTTCCAGCACGTTTTCCTTGAGCACCTTTTACAGCTCGTTCCGCACATCAACAATGTGCAATTAAACCCTCCTGGGCTCCCACAAAAATGCTTTCAGGAACCTCTGGGGTCCAGATGTGGAATGTTTTGTGCCGCCACGGCTGGGAAAGAGGAACAAACCCAGCGGTTCAGGAGGTCCCTGTGACAGTCACCACATGGCCCGTGGGCCAATATCGCTGCAGCTGGGCCGTAAACGGATCAATGTGGCAGCACGGGGGCCGGGGCGCTGGGATTTGGAAAGAGTCAGGAGCGTGTTTGGATTGTTGCATAATCCCTGGCCTGCTTTGCAAATGGATCTGGGAATATCTGGCTCGGGGGAAAGGCGACGTGTCGGAATTCCGCCGAGCGCGTGGCGCCTCCGGCCTCCTTTGTCCCCGTTCAGGGCCGGCGGCTCCTCGTGCCTGAAAACCAAATTGAACCCCAGGTGGAACCTGTGTTTGCTCCTAGGCACAGCAGCAGAGGAACCTGGACAACATCGTGTCCCAGCAGCCCAGGATTGGCGGGGGAAAGAAATCCAAGAAGGAGTTCAGCGCCAGCTCCGAGCTGGAGGTGAAGAACACCAGCCCCATGTCGGAGCAGGATTCAGGGATCCTGGATGTGGAGGATGAGGATGAGGAAGAAGAGGTAAACAACAAACTGGGTGGTGTGGGGTGCCTGTGGTGTCTCAAGGGGTTTGCTCCTTGTTCATAGGGGAGTCCTGAAGGTGCAGGAGAGGCTGGAGAATGTGGGATGTGTCTCCAGATTTGGTTATTTTGTGGTTTTCTCCCTATTCCCATTACTGCGCTCAGTAGAGAGGCCAAGGATTGGGAACTGCCCATCCCGGTCTGTCCCAGCACCTTGGTGCTGCTGGAGAACGTCCATCCCTCAGGGAAACATTGCTCCATAACCTGATTTTTGGCCTTTTCCTTTCTCCTGGTTTGTCTTTGGATAAGGCATTGTGTCAGGATGGGAGGTGGAAATTTAAATTCCTTCATGTGCTCCCTTCTTCCCTTCCTGCTGCAGCTTCCTGGCACCTGACAGAGGGTTTTGGGAACCACATAGCCTGGGGGTGGTGTTGGTTTTTCCTTCCTCCCAGTGCTGGTTCACCTGGCATTTGGGATGTTTCCCATGGAGTACAGCCCCATGTCTCAGGAAAGGCAGCTGCAGTGCAGGACCTGGGGGGTTGAGCCGTTGGATGTGTCCATCGTGCCATGGGATGCAGCCGTGTCCTGGACCTTTTGGGAAGTTCTGTCTGCCCCTCTGGATGGTTCTTCTCACTCGTTGAAGCCTCTTTTGTCAGGAAAATGATCTTTTCAGCTGCAGCCAGTCCCTGGGCTGGGGAGTGTTTGTCACCCTGACCGTAACAGCCCCTGAGCAGCCAGGGAGGGGACCAAGGACGAGCTGGGAATTTGAAGTTGGGTTGTTCAAGTGGTTCTGGGCTTTCTGTTTTCCCTCTGCAAATCCATTCCCTCCTTTCCATGGCTGCTGTGCATCCAGAGCAGAGCAAGGTCACACCTTCCTCCATGGGGATGGAATTGTGGGCTCAGCCCAGACCCTTCCTGGGGCCTGCTCTGGGACCCTCTGGAGGGGCTGCACATTCCTACAGCAGCATGGAATGAGGCCCTGGAGCTGCTGCAGGGCTGGAGCCCCTCTGCTCTGGAGCCAGGCTGGCAGAGCTGGGAATGTTGCCCTGGAGAAGGGAAGGCTCCAGGCAGAGCTCAGAGCCCCTGGCAGGGCCTGCAGGGGCTCCAGGAGAGCTGCAGAGGGGCTGGGGACAAGGCCTGCAGGGACAGGAGCCAGGGAATGGCTCCCACTGGGAAAGGGGAGATTGGGCTGGGATCTTGGCAAGGAATTCCTGCCTGGGCTGGAATTCCCAGATTTGCTGGGGCTGCCCCTGGATCCCTGGCAGTGCCCAAGGCCAGGTTGGACAGTGGGGCTTGGAGCAGCCTGGGATAGTGGGAGGTGTCCCTGCCATGGATGGGATGGGATTTAAGGTCCTTTCCCACCCAAGCCATCCCATGTTTCCATGGTTCTGGCCTGTCCCAGACAGGTGATTCCCATCTCTGGGTGTGGTGGCCCTTTGGTGACCTCACAGGAGGTGGCCCTGCAGTGGGGGATGGGCAGGAGGGGCTGTCCCCATCCCAGTCCCTGTCCCAGGGTGGGCAGTGGCCGCTGTCCGTGGTGATGAACAGCGGGGGGGAGGGGCAGCAGCCACGGGACCCCTGGGAGCACCTGGGCAGGTGCCCTGGAGGAGGTGCCATGGAGGAGATGCCATGGGGGAGATTCCATGGAGGAGATGCCATGGAGGAGATGCCATGGAGGAGCCCCCATGGAGGAGATCCCATGGTAGAGCCCCATGGAGGAGATCCCATGGGGAATATCCCATCTAGGAGATGCCATGGAGGAACCCCCATGGAGGAGCTGCCATGGAGGAGATCCCATGGAGAAGCTCCCATGGAGGAGATGCCATGGGGGAAGATCCCATGGAGGAGATCTCATGGAGCAAATCCCATGGGGAATATCTCATGGAGGAGGTCCCATGGAGGAACTCCCAGGGGGAGATCCCATGGAGGAAATCCCAGGGGGAATATCCCATGGAGGAGATGCCATGGAGAAGCCCCTATGGAGGAGATGCCGTGGAGGAGATGCCATGGAGGTGCCCCATATAGGAGATCCTATGTGGGAGATCCCTTGGAGGAGCCGCCATGAAGGAAATCCCAAGGGTAATATCCCATGGAGGAGAGAAAAGCAAGCAGTTTGTTCCTGATCAGCTTTGAATTCCCCGTGTTCCTTCCTCATAGAATCAGGGAATGTCCTGGATGGAAGGGGATCCACAGGGATCATCCATCCATCCATCCATCCATCCATCCATCCATCCATCCATCCATCCATCCATCCATCCACCCCTGTCCCTGCTCAGACCCCCAGAATCCCACCCTGGGCATCCCTGGAGCTCTGTCCCAACACTCCTGCAGCTCTGGCAGCCTCAGGGCTGTGCCCATTCCCTGGGCAGCCTGGGCAGTGCCAGCACCTTCCTGGATGAGGAACCTTTCCCTAAAATCCAGCCTGGGCCTCCCCTGGCACAGCTCCAGGCATTCCCTGTCCCTGGGTCACCAGAGTGAATCCTCCTGGGGATTTGTTCTTTTTGGAAAGAAAATTATTGATTTATTGGCCAAAAAAAATCTCTCGAGTGGAAATGGAGCCATTCCAATTTTGGAGTCCTTGGAGGGAGACCCGGAGGGGCTGGAGCATGCCCAGGGAAGGGATTGGAGCTGGGAAGGGAATGGAGAATCCCTGAGGGAGCTGGGAAGGGAATGGAGAATTCCTGAGGGAGCTGGGCAGGGGCTGCAGAATCCCTGAGGGAGCCGGGCAGGGGCTGGAGAATCCCTGAGGGAGCTGGGCAGGGGCTGCAGAATCCCTGAGGGAGCCGGGCAGGGGCTGCAGAATCCCTGAGGGAGCCGGGCAGGGGCTCAGCCTGGAGCAAAGGAGGCTCAGGGGGGACTCTGAGCTCTGCCTGGAGCTTTCCCTTCTCCAGGTGAACATTCCCAGCTCTCCCAACCCGGCCTCAGCTCCCTGATGTCTCCTGGGCTCTCTCCAGCAGCTCCAGATCCTTTTCCTGAGGACCCCAAAGCTGGATTGGAGCAGAGCCATGGCTGGGGGCAGCAGTGGAGTTTTAGGGACAATTCCTGGAATGTTTGTGTCACCTGCAGTCCCCCCCTGCTCCGTGCCCTGGCCTGGAGTGGAGCCCAGTGGGTTCTGGGTCCTGTCCCGTGTCCCTGTGCCCCAGCTCATCCATGGGTTCCCATCAATGGGACTCTGGGATGGTTCCCAAATCCCCGGATTTGGCTCCTCTGGAATTCCTGGTGTTCCAGTCTGGAGGGTTTTCACCCTCACTGAGGGACAGAACCTGTGCTCGTGTCCTGCTTTTAGCCCAAAACCCACCAAGGGTCCAAGGTCCAAACCCTCAGATCCCAAATTAACCCTTGCATCCCAAATTAACCCATCTACCCCACATTAACCCTTATATCCCAAATTAACCCTTATATTCCAAATTAACCCTCCTATCCCAAATTAACCCTTCTATCCCAAATTAACCCTCCTACCCCACATTAACCCTTATATCCCAAATTAATCCTTCTATCCCAAATTAACCCTCCTATCCCAAATCACCCCTCATATCCCAAATCAACCCTTCTATCCCAAATTAACTCTCCTATCATAAAATAACCTTCATATCCTGAATTAACCCTCCTATCCCAAAATAACTTTCATATCCCAAATTATCCAAACCCATAGCAAAGCTTCCCTAAACTCTGAGCCATCCCTGTGCTGGTGGCAGCCAGGGCTGCAGGTTTCCATGGAAAATTGGCCTTGCAGGAGTTAAATCAGCTGCAGGATTGTTTAACCCCACTTGCAGGAGGGATTTGGGTGTTTCCAGAGCCCTGCCCCACTCCCAGCTCTGGGAACGTGCCTGCTGCAGGATTTGGGAATGAGATTGGGAGGTTGATGTTGTGTGGACGGGGAAATTTTGGGATAAGATGAATAAATCCTTTGTTCTGGAAATCAAGAGGGATAAAAACCAGGATTGGGCTGGAGGGGGTGTCAGGGGAGCCATCAGTCCTGGCCTGGGGCCGCCCAGGCTCCCATGGCATCGGCACGTCCCAAAAATCAGGGATTTATGGATTGTTGGGAACGCTGGCAGTGCAGCTCTGGCACAGGAAATGCAGGCACTTCTTCAGTGCTAAATTCAGGGAATTTTAATTTGTGTCTGAATGTTGAAATAGCAGATAAACACCTGAATTTGTCAATGTGAGACAGGGTCATTGTGTGATGGATGTGTTAATCCAGGCAGAGGGAGAATTCCATGGAATCATGGAATGGCTTGGGATGGAAGGGACCTGAAAAATCATCAATTCCACCCCTGCTGTGGGCAGGGACAGCTCCCACTGTCCCAGGTGGATCCAGCCTGGCCTTGGGCACTGCCAGGGATCCAGGGGCAGCCCCAGCTGCTCTGGGAATTCCAGCCCAGCCCCTGCCCACCCTCCCAGCCAGGAATTCCTTCCCAAGAAGAAATTCCCATGAAGGAATTCTTTCACTCTAGTTCCACATCAGAGAGGAGTTTATCCCACCAAATCCCATCCCATTGCAGCCCTGCCATGGCCAGGGACATTTCCACCATCCCAGGTGCTCCAAGAGCAGCTCCAGAGGCAGGAGCTGGAGGTGCAGATGTGGGAATCCCATCCTGGATCACTTCAGGATGGGCTTTAATGTCCCTCCCATCCCAAACCAGTTTGGGATCCTGGGATCCCCCATTTCAGCTCCAGCCAGGACTGATTTCCCTCACACCCTATGATCCTTTACCAGCTCCAGTTCCCCCTCACAGAGGAGTTTATCCCACTAAATCCTGAGGGTGCAGATGCGGGAATCCCATCCTGGATCACTTCAGGATGGGCATTAATGTCCCTCCCATCCCAAACCACTCTGGGATCCTTGGATCCCCCATTTCAGCTCCAGCCAGGAACCTTTGCAGTGCTGAGATCTGGTTTTCCTTGCATGGAGGAGATTCTTTCACTCCAGTTCCACCTCACAGAGGAGTTTATCCCATAAAATCCCGAGGGTGCAGATGTGGGAATCCCATCCTGCAG